GTTTACTCTTGCTAAAGCCCCAGTAAGTTGGAAGTCTACTTTGCAATCTACAGTGGCTTTGTCTACTACAGAGACAGAATACATGGCAGTTTCTGAGGCTATGAAGGAAGCAATTTGGCTTAACGAGTTGATGGAAGACTTGGGAGTTGTTCAAAGTCACATTAGTATCTATTGTGACAGTCAGAGCGCTATTCACTTAGCGAAAAATCAAGTCTACCATTCAAGGACTAAGCATATCGACGTGAGGTATCACTTTGTGCGGGAGATCTTTGAAGAAGAAAAGATTCTACTTCAGAAAATTATGACATCATAAAATCCTGAAGATATGATGACCAAGGTGGTAACAGTAATCAAGTTTAATCATTGTTTGAACTTGATTAACATCTTGAAAGTTTGAGCACCTTCGGGTGTATGGCACTTGTGAGCGCAATTAAAGGCATTACATTAAAAGAGCTTCATGGAATTTGGGGAGTTGAAGAAATTGAGTAGGCTTGGTAATTTCAAGCCAAGGTGGAGATTTGTTATGTTTGACTTGAAAGTTGGCAAAGTAGAAAGTTGGCAAAATTGAAAGTTGGCAAAGTTGAAAGTTGGAAAAGTTGACATCTTTGGTTGGTGGCTAATTTGTACACATTGGAAAATTCTTTGGTAGGTGGCCAACTTGTGCATATGGGAATTTCATCTTTGGTCCATAAAATATTAGGTTATTTATAAGTTTAGTCCTTAAAACTCAACTATAAATAGGCCTAAGTATTTCATTAGAAATCATCCCAAAACAAGTTCTCTCTTCTATTTGTTTTCTTTATTCTCTAACTTTGGGAATTCTAAAGAATTTCATTTGTTGTAATATTTGTAACACCCCAACCCGTACCCAACCCGGATACGAGTCTGAGGTGTCACATTGACTTTTCAAACTTTGACTCTTGATAAAATTCAAAGAATTTTTAAAACATTTCATTAAAGTAAAAGAGGTTTAGTTACATAAACTGACCACAATTTCCAAAATCAATCAGAGCATATTTAATTCAACCAATTAGTGCATGCCAACTATACTCAAAATAACCAAAAACATTTAAATCCTCTATTTTCTGATCTGAAATTTTGTAAGGGAGGTGCTGACCTGTCTTACTCTTCTTCTCTTCTCTTCTTGCTTATGTACCCTACGTGTGAAACAATCACACGCTAAGTCGAAAACTTAGTGAGGCATAAAAACTTATAATGCACTTTATAACATATACCAATACATGCATGTTCTGTTCTATCATGTTATACCAAATTACATGCTTTCTTCGTATCATATAAAATCATATCAGATTAATTACAGTAAATACATACATACACATAACTCATCATTAACAGTTTATCATGTAATCACATACTTTTATGCTTAACCTTTTCAATCAAACACTATACACACACAACATCATATCATTTCTATAACATTTATCATACCACTAACATATATTTGTTTATATCTCTTGATTAGCCCATGTATATATGTGAGAACTATAGATATGTGAGTTTATGGAGATTGTGCATTAATGCTGTCACCACAGCTCATATAAATGCACCGAAGTGCCACATAGAATTGCACCTTAGTGCCGCGTAGAATTGCACCGTAGTGCCGCGTAGAATTGCACCGTAGTGCCATATAATAATGTCCATAAGGACCACATATCATTCCTTAAGAATCATATACATATACTAGGGATCAAGTATGTGTCTCACCAGACTTCACACATGTTCAAAAGAATACATATATATCCCGAAGGACCACATATCATTCCTTAAGAATCATATACATATGCCAAGGATCAAGTATGTGTCTCACCAGACTTCACACATGTAACTTAACGAAATTTTTTAACACTCACTGTTGAGTCACATAAAATAATAACGTTTTTAATGTTAGATATATGGATGAATAAAAAAAATTACATGGATGAATAAAAAAAATTTAGACAACGAGAAAAATAGATAATAAAAAAGGAAAAATACATCCCATGTGACTATTATTAACTTGATTACAAACATATATTTTTTTAAAAGTTACAATTTAATCATTCAGTTGAAAAACTATTGCAAGTTGATAACTTTACATTAAAATTGAAAAAACGTTTAACATATCCTGATATGATAATAGTTTTAATTCGTAAAAATTATATATACTATCAATATAATCATAATCTAAAATAATTAAATAAACTTAATTTAATATATTTAAAAATTCTGTCAAATTAACGTGTTAATCTCAAAAGATGTTATATTACTACCATGTTACTTAAAATCGCCCTCAGTGTGTTTACATGGAGTTGAGTTTTATCAATAGGAGCGCTCACTGCATTTATAGTTTTGTGTGATACATGAGGCAGTGGAATTGACAAAATATGTCCTATAGAATTTATTTTCATTGTGCATTTAGAGGATACTCTCTTTCAGGTTTTGTTGATGTTTGAAGTATCAAATAGGTTATATTAGTCGTGGATCAACTTTATATTCGAATGATAGTTCTTATACATATATAAAGAATGAATAAAGGGTAAACCAAGGTAGGCTATGCATAAAGTGATACACGTCCATTTGCAACAATTATTGTACCAGATTCTCCATTATCACTACTCCCATTGGATTTCCTCTGCTAAGTTCAGCCACATAATTGGCAGCCCTAGTTTTCTCACGCAAGCTACGAGAAATATAAACCTCCCAGTCATGATCTAGCCTATAAGAGTGCACAATGAATAGGAGTTCAAGTCACATCTATAATAAAATAATTATTAGTATTCTTTGAAGATTCTGATTTAAACATTAAAAATACTAAGGGCGTATTTGGTTCAAGTCATCTCATATTATCAGGGGAATGAAATGTCATTCTCCCGTTTAGTTGGCAAACATTCTCAGCTCCCGGTAATCTTTTATTCCCAACAGTGGTATTTTGAGGGTATATTATCGGGAATGTGATTACCCTTCTTTCCTTAGGTATTGTTGGATTACCGGCGTTTTGGACTAAAATACCCTTAAGATTTTATTTTTTTCAAAAATATCATTATTATGTCGTTGAATATAAAAAATTCTACGAAGGTTAAATTACAAATTTATCCTTTAACTATTTTAGATTTACAAAAAAGTTTATAATTAGAGTTTTATATGAAATTCAGGGGTTAAAATAAAATTTTACCCTTTCATTGAACCTATTTATCTTTTCAATTTTGTAAATTTTTTTTATAAATTTTATAAATTTCAAATTTTTAAAGAAAATATATAAATTAATTATAGTAAAATTATAGTAGAATTCAACTTGTTAAAAACAAATATATGATAAGGACAGTTTGGTAAAATATACATTTCAATAATCTTTTATTTCTTTAACCAAATACTGTAATCTTATATTCATACTAAAAGAACCAAATACAAAATATAACATTCCTAGTAATCTTACTCCCGCAAGTAATCATATTCCTACTGATAATCTTATATTCCGTGAATCAAACACACCCTAAAAGTATAAACATTTAATATTGAAAGGTTAAGAGTTATCTTTAAACATATAATACCCTTTTACATATCATAAATAAATTAAAAAAAGAATAATTGAGTGATATAAAATGTATTTTACCCTAAAAAGTGTGCTTCAATAATTTTATATTAACGTCTTTTTTAATAGCCTAAAATAATTATAAAATAATATATATTTATAATTTTTCTTAACTATTCACCTCCCATATCAATCTTACACACATCAATCTTACACATACATGTACTCAATTCAGAATTTTAAAAAAGATCATTTAAATGAGTTGTAAATCAATAAAAAAAGAAGTAGATGCGCTTATAAGTCATATAAGTGTCCCCACTTTTAACAGTGCGCCTATCATATCATTCTTATCGTTTCATCACAAATTTGTTTTCTTCTTCTCCGTATACTTCTGCAATTTATGTAATCCCCTGTACTTCTTTTAGAAGGTTTAATATAACATTATTCCTTGTATTATGGTTTAATTTTCATTTTATTCTTTAAACAATCATTTTCAATTAGTCTTTATATTATTTATTTTACCTTTTGTATTAATATTTTTATGTAAAACAGAAATATTTTAATTAATCAAAACATATCATGTCATGAAAAATAAAAATAATCATAAAAAACAAAATATATGAAAAAATTTATAGATCCATTTGAATATAATATTAAATTACTAAATTTGAATCCGGTTTAATTGAATCTCTTTCTAAAATATTATGATCTTATAAAATATAATTCATCAGGCCAGGTTTTCTTTTATCATTATCAATATATAGAAGTACAATTAATTTGTAATTATTATCTCTTTATTTAATCTATCACTAAAATTACAAAAATATTATATGACAAAAAAAAAACTAAAATAAGTCAATCGGACAGTAAAAAGAACATACATATAGATAATTGTATCTTCAATTATTTAAAATATACATACTTAAAAGATTATACTTTCGTTTAAAAATTTTTATACATAAACGATGTGAGATTTAAAAATCTCTTGATTAAACTTATTGATTTTAACATGTTAAGAATATGCCTTAAGCATGTGTTAGACAGTGAGACAATTGTTGTTTTTTTAACACTCGGGATTTAATATCTTAAAATGTTTTTAATTGTAGCACTAATATGAGTTTGTACAAATTTAATACATCTTTTTAAAATACACCTTTGACACTTATCATGAGCGTTATTTCTTTTTACATAAAATCAGTACAATTTCTTTAAATGTTTTTGACTCATTATTTCATTTATTTTATAGTCTAACTAATAAAAAAAAAACAGTACGGTGTGAAAACCGGACCCAATCCGAAAGCATCCCCCGATCATCAATACAAAGATCGCAATTTGACAACTTGCAAAGAAAAAAACAATCGGAACCATAAACGTCAACATTGTGAGCCAATGCAGCTATTCAACAATCGAAGTGTTTAAACCAACGTTGTTAGCACTTTAAATACCCACCCACAGTCTCAAATTCAACACCCAAATCGCTACAGATTAGTTGTAAATTCCTCAAAATTCCACCCTCAAGCCCTCCGTTCAAATTATTCTCAACATCTTTTTTCCTTTTTGTTTAGCAAAGCTTTAATCTAAAGTGTTAATGGGGCATCGTGAAGCTTACACTTTTAGTGCCTGGAAATGGCTAGGCTTTGTTTCTGCAGTATGGGTCCAAGCCATTGCAGGCAATAACTATACATTTTCCAACTACTCTGATGCTATCAAGACGATTATGAACCTTACTCAGCTTCAGCTCAACAATTTGTCCGTGGCTAAAGATGTCGGTAAAGCTTTTGGTCTCATTTCCGGCCTCGCCTCCGATCGTTTGCCGACCTCCGTAATTCTCCTTATTGGCTCCATTGAAGGGTTGGTCGGTTACGGTATTCAATGGCTAGTCGTCAGCCGGAAAATTCAACCACTTCCTTATTGGCAGGTAGAAGAACTGTTCTGTTGAGCATTTGATCGAATACTTGTGTTGCAACTGTGTGCCTCACCACTTCCATTAAAAAATTGTTGTTTCACTATTGAGATCCTAGTCCCTACAAAATGGGTCGTGTTCACTGTTTAAAATCTATTTGATTTTCCGCATAATTTTTATTTTTTGTTCTTTCGAATTCGTTTCTACAGATGTGTATATTCATGTGCATGGGTGGCAACAGCAGCACATGGATGAACACGGCGGTGTTAGTGACTTGCATGCGCAACTTCCGTCGCAACCGTGGCCCGGTTTCCGGCATCTTAAAAGGGTACGTCGGCCTCAGCACCGCCATTTTCACAGACCTCAGCACCGCCCTTTTTGACAAAGATCCCTCCAAAATCCTCGTCTTGCTTGCTGTCATCCCTTTCGCCGTTTGCCTTACCGCCGTCTTCTTTCTCCGTGAAATCCGCCAATCTGCTCCCGTCGCTACGGAAAATGAAGAAGATCGATACTTTACGATATTCAACGAAGTTGCCGTCGTGATTGCTGTTTATCTTTTAACGTACGACCTCATCGGCTCGACCAATCAAGTTGTGTCACTCGTTTTTGCTATCATTCTTCTTATTTTACTAGCTAGTCCGTTGGCGGTTCCGGTTTATTCTTTTATAAAGAGTTGGCGCTTGGTCGGGTTCGAACCCGACATGGAGCAACAGGAACCGTTGCTGGAACAAGAAGCTAACACAACAACGGCGGAGAAAAGGGAGGTCACTGAAGAGGAACAACCGGTTGTGGCGGCTGGGGAAGCGGTGACGGCGGTGGAAAAGATTAGGCCGGTGATCGGAGAAGAACACACGGTAGTCGAGATGATGCAAACGTGGGACTTTTGGCTTCTTTTCGTGTCGTTTTTGTGTGGGGTGGGGACCGGTATGGCGGTGATAAACAACATGGCGCAGATCGGTTTGGCCCTTGGCCACGCAAATGTTTCCATTTTCGTGTCGTTCATCAGTATCTGGGGTTTCTTCGGTCGGATCATTTCGGGTTCGGTTTCGGAGTATTTTCTCAAGTAAGCTCCATTTCTTTACCTTATTCTGCATAATCCAAATTTTTTCATATTTACACCAATTTTATGGCATCAGAATCTTCCACTCATATTCATATTAGATCTGTTCATTTATTTATACCATTGTTAGCCATTAAAATTGAAATTAGCCACGGATTTAGAAAATATATTAATTATTCTCAAATTATTATTGATATTTTTAAAATTTTCATATATAATTTCCCTCAAAGAAAAAAAAATCAACCGTCAATTAACACTCTAGTCACTTTAAAGTTTTGTCCGAATAATACCAGAAATTATTATATGAATCTCATTAGTTATATTATCTATCAATGAAACTTATCTATTTCATTTCTTTCTTTCATGTCATTGTTTATTGATAAATCTTTACTTTTTTCCGTGGAAATATAAAATTGAGTGATTACTTAAAAAAATCAATTATAAATAGTTTAGTGACATGAAAAAAATGATGTGACCAAATTTTACTAGTTGCGGGATCATAATGAGGCGATGAAAAAATAAATAAAATAATTTCTCAAATAATACCTTACAATATTAGTTTATTTGGTATTTTTGTATATAAGAAATAGTTTGGAAAGTCACGTGTCATGACCGGAACGAAAGGGTTTTTAAAAAAAATAATTTAAGAATTTTTTATGTAATTATTTAAGGATTCTTTTACTAAAATAGATAGTTAAAATATTATTTTTATATAAATAATTAAAATATTTTTTTTGTTATAGTAGATTCCGAATATATATTATTTTTTATTTAAGTATCTAAAATGACACGTGAAATTAATTAAAAATATTTAAATTATGTTAGTTTTTTGCTTTAGGTATCTTAATATATGCTTTTCAAATTAGGTACTTAAACTATTATATGTAATCCCTTTATGTACCTTAGCTATTGTTTTGGTCAAAATAAGTCCCTAAATTATATCCTTTTTTATTTTAACACCTAAAGTATTTTTTGGTCAAAATAAATATTTAATTTTGTATGACGTGTCAACATCTTAGGTAAAAAATAATTTTTTAACTAAAAAAATATTAAGACTTAAAATAATTAAATATAATAATATAAGTACCTAGTTTGACAAAAAATAGTTTTAAGCGCTTAAAGCGAAAGAAAATATAATTTAAATATTTATTTTTACTTTAAAAATTTAAAAGAATACTGAGATATTTAAATGAAAAGATTGATATACTCTAAATACTTACTTTAAGTAAAAATTAATTTAACTATCTACCTAAGAAAACGTAAACACTTTTTATATTTATTTCAATAGAAAATATTTTAAATATTTAAATAAATAATATACTTCAAATACATTTTAAAAAAAATATATGTTTGTTGTTTTTCTTCAATAAGTTTACACGAAATGATCAATTCTATCGTGTTCTTTATGTAATGAACTTTAAAGCTGCTGAATCTGTTATTTTGGTGTGACACGCTTAAATTAATGGTTACGTTTCAGAGCCGTGCGTGCATGCCAATTGCCATGACCGTAACCACTAAGCTTTATGTGTTGTCAATCTTGCTTAAATGCACATGCTACAGGAGGACCACACTCCTTTTATTTATTTATTTTTTACCATATTAAATTGCTAAAAAATCTATGGTTAGCAAAATTCGGATTTAAAGTTGGATTGATTTTACTTTGATTTAATTAGATGAATGGGTTGATCGGTTAATTTATTTTGAATTAAATCTTGAATTGATGAGAATTCAAATTTGTTTAAATGATTCTTTGGTTTTATATGCAGCATTGGACCGACAATGACTGATATTTATTATTTTGATGTTGACAAGTTTAGCTCAATGGATGGGTTGATGTTAGTTGGCCCTATTAATTCCATCAATTTACTTGGTTGAAATTTTATGTGGTGTTTTATTCATTATCACAATTTTCATTTATCTTGAAATATTTATGTCTAAAATTGGTATTCAAGATTATATACTCGAAGATATAAACTTCGTAGGTACACCAAATATATTTAAAAAATTATATATTTTCTATGATTGTATGCTTGTCTCTCTTATAATTTTATAATTTATTCCTTTTTAAAATTTTAGAAGTTCACTTATAATATAAAATCTTGCATTTATCCCTGATTATAAACATTCTCATCCTAGTTCAAATAATATGCATTGCACTCAAACGTTACGTATCTTATTATGGACTTGTATGGTAATGCATAATGTAGATGATGGTGATGAGCTCACAGCATGGCTCTTGTCCAGCCATTGACATCTTTCACTTTTGGCCATTTCAGCTTTTTTTTTTATTTGTTTTATTATAATGTCGGATCATTTCGGATTCGGATTGTTTAAGATTCTAGTTATAATGGATATGCAATAATTTGTCATACATTTTATTGATTATTAAAAAAGAAAAACAACCTGAGCTTTGAACTACCTGCAGGAGAGCTGGAACACCTAGGCATGTTTGGAACGCAGCATCTCAGATCCTGATGGCAGTTGGGTTCTTTCTAATGGCATTGGCAATGCCCGGTTCCCTTTACATTGGTTCAATCGTTGTCGGTATCTGTTACGGAGTCCGTCTAGCCGTGTCGGTCCCTATCGCCTCGGAATTATTCGGTCTCAAATATTTCGGTTTGCTCTACAATATCTTAATCCTCAACCTTCCCATTGGTTCTTTCCTCTTCTCAGGCCTGCTCGCCGGTTACCTATACGACGCGCAAGCAATTCCGACACCAGGAGGTGGGAATACCTGTGTGGGAGCACATTGTTATAGGCTGGTGTTCATCGTAATGGCTATAGTCTCGGTTATCGGATTCGGCCTGGATGTTTTGCTGGCAATAAGAACTAAGAACGTTTACACCAAGATATTCACCAGCCAGAAATCGAAGAAATCATTGACCACGTCAAATGGCCAACGGTAAACAATGCAGCAAAAGAGTAAGTTGCACGATTGCTGAACTTTTATCTTATCAGCAATTGTATTCAATAATATGATATGTTTTGGATATGCAACAACAACAACAAAACCCTATTCCCATATGCAATGGGATAAGGGAGAGGTAGGGTAGTAGACTGCCCCAACGCCAGGTTGAGAGCAGCTTCCATGGAAGACCTCTGACAGTCAGAAAATTAAAAATAAAGATAAAATGCAATGCATGTATAAATAAATAAATAAATACATAGTTGAATAGTCTTCATATGCACTCTTCATATGCGCATCTCTAATGGGAAGTAATCACTGCAAATAAATCACTGCGTAAAATATATCTGCATATATACAGAAGACGTAAGACCCGGCTAAATTTAAAAAGAGGTAACCTGAAGAGAAGGATACACAGTAGTCAACGATAGCAAGCTACGAGACGGAATAAAGTCAAATGGGTTAACACATAAACTAAGGCAACACTAATACGCTACCCTAGTTCTAAGCCTTCATAAATTCCAATGACAGAAACGTATATAAAGTAGAAGTCATGGAAATTACTATAAAGACATTAAAAATAAGACAGAGAATGTTACACCTTATGGTTGTGACTCGCACTACTCGGCTACCCTGGTCTTAAGTCTCCATACTTTCCTATCAAAAGTCGTGTCCTCGGTAAGGGCTAAATCGTTCAAATCAGATCTCAAGCAGTCTTCCCACTTCTACCTTGGTCGTCCTCTCCTTCTGGCACCGTCGACTGTAACGACTCTACCCTCCTGACCGCATCCGACGGTTGTCGCCTAAGGACATGTCCAAACCACTGTAGTCTTTTCTCCCTCAATTTTTCGGATACATGCACCACCCCCCAAGGACATCCTAATAGTAGAGTTTGGTGTCATGTCCCACAGAGTCCTACCACATGCCCATCTAAGCATTCTCATTTCTACGACTTCCATCCTCCTTACGTGATCCTTCTTGATTGCCCAACATTTTGATCCATATAGCAGCGCTGGTCTTATTGCCATTCTATAAAATTTTCCCTTAAGTTTTAGAGGCACCTTCTTATCACACCAAACTCCAGTAGCAGCCCTCCACTTTAGCCATCCCACCTTTATACGGTGTGTAACGTCATCATCTACACCCCCATCTTTATGTATCATAGACACTAGGTACTTGAAACAATCCTTTGAGGGGAGAACGTGTCCTTCTATGCATACTTCTACATCTTCATCGTTTTGGTTCCCACTGAAGTTTGAACATAAATACTCTGTCTTTTCAATATTGATCCTTAGACATTTTTCTTCCAAAGCACTCTTCCAGGTAGCCAGTCTCCTATTCAACTCAGTTTTTGTTTCAGAAACTAGGACAATGTCGTCAGCGAAAAGCATACACCATGGAACACCGTCTGGTGTCGCACAAAATATGTCGTCCATAATCAAGGCGAAGATGTAAGGGCTAAGAGCCGACCCCTGGTGCAGTCTGATTTCCACCGGGAATACCTCAGTGTTGCCAACTGTAGTCCTGACGTAAGTAGTAGATCTATAGTACATATCACGAATCGCCCGGATATAAGCAGTTGGATCCGTCTCGTTTCCAAGGTCTTCCAAATCAGATCGCGTGGAACGCTATCATATGTCTTCTCAAGGTCAATGAACGCCATGTGAAGATCTTTTTTTTTTTTTCCCTATATTTCTCCTTTTGGATATGCATTGCTGGCAATTAGAACCAAGATAATTCACCGTCGGATATCGGAAACATCCTCAACGGCGTCTTACGGTTGTTCGCCATTTTATATTGTGATAGGTGATTCTGGAAGAACATTGTATGAATTGTTTGATTTGAATTATTAGGATGTTCTTCCAATTCTCCAATTTGAAGGCATCTCATTTGTTTTATTTTTTTTAGCTGATAGCATCTCCTGTTTGTCAGTTTGTATGCTATGCAAAGTCTTAAGCTTTTACCATTGGATAAATTCACATAAAAATGTATTTAATTTTATTAAATAAATTCAATCATCAAATAATATTATTTTATAATATTATAATAAAATTCAAACGAATAATCAATTTAAAAGACTCGTTTATAATCAATTGAGTTTAATTTAATCATTATGCAGTTGGTATAATACAAGATAATTTAAGATCGAATATTTTTAGATATTTAATATCTTTTGATTTATGGGTAGCGATAGATAGATTAATATATACATTAATATTATCGACACCCGTTTTTATCCGGGTTGATGTTTTATTTTATTTTTTATTATTATATTATATTATATTATATTATATATATATATATATATATATATATTAAATAATTAATAATATATTTTTATTATATTTTTATTTCCAGACCCAAATACAACCCAAGAAACAAGCAAGCCCAACATAACCCGGCCCAAATTGGATTTCACCAAAACCTAACCTAACCATAGCTTCTACTACATCCGCCGCCACCCGCGCCGTTGCCATCACTAAATCCCACTGTCGGCACCCCTGTTCCAGAGCAAGAAATCAAATCAATCAAAAACGAATCTAATGAAAATGAAATCAAATCCACCCAACCATCATCGTGCGCTTGTCACCATAGCCACACCATCACTATTAAAAGGGGGAATCATCCGAAAAAAGAAAGAACGGGAGGAGAAGAGAAGCAACTCGAAAAAGAGGAAGAAAAAAATAGGAGAAGAAACCTTACCGGGATCGACGCTCGTCGAAATCCTAAAGTCACCGAAGTTCAAAACTTTCGAAAGGTATTATTGTAGATCTACACTCCTAGGTTGAGATTTAGGACAAAAGGGGTTCGGATTGGGTTAAGAAAGAAAATAGGAAAATTTTGGGCTATTCGATTCTCTCTTCGGATGCCAAGAGCTGCCACCAACGAGCAATGGTCGTCTTCCCCGACGATGGGAAATGGAGAGGATTTCCTCTCTCTTAAAAATAGTTGGGTATAAAAAATGGGGCTAGGGTTTTAAATTTTTCTATATATATATCCCTTGATTCTTGTAACCTTTTGTTTTAATCCTGAAATGAAGTGGGTTAATAGCACATTTAGTTCTCCTAGGAGTGCAACCTTTTATTTCAGTCACTTAATCATAAGTTTATTTTTTTATTTTGAATCTTTAATTTTATATATTTATATTTTAATCATTGTTTACATATTAACATGCTTTGGTCAAATTCCTAATCTTCACTGTCAATTTATGATTTGTTGCATTTTTACCCTTCATGTTTATTGCATGTGGGAATATGCTCTATTATGGGGTAAGCCCTTTCTAATTTCACTTTGTATATTTTTGGTCAATGTCCTTCTTAGTTTAATACTTGAATGGCTTTGTGGTCTTATTACATGTTTAATATTTTTGCATTTTATGTGATACATTTAGTCCTTGTAATTTATTATATATTTAATCTAGGTATTTTATTTGTTTCGATTCTAAATCCTCTTATTTTAAGTTTAATGTAATTTATCTATCTTTTTATGTTAATGGGGGTTGTCTCAGGAAAGACAGACTAATATACGGCTAAAAAACGGCGTGATCGAAATTTAATAAGATACTTAACAAAGTCGGTTAAGCGTTACCGGAAATGTTGACTAATAATAATGTTGTAGGTAGAAAATATGAAGAAATATTGGCAACTGGCAAAATTTACTTTTCGGTACATATCGATACCGTGCACAAAAGTAGCGATATATATATAATATATAAGAAAGTTATGAAAACCGGTTAAAAGTAGACATGTATCGATACCTTTATAAGAATATGTATAAAAGTATCGATACTTTAGTAATTTAAGAGAATTGCAATCAAAGTGCGTACGAAGTATTGATACCTTACACACATGTATTGATACATAACAATATAACAAGTTGAAATTTGACAAATCTAGTTTCAATTTGATAAAACATGTAACAAATGTGACTAAACCGGTTGAAAATTAACAAAACTGGTTTTGTAATACCCCAAATATTAGGTTGATGACTATATTGAAAAGATTTAAAAATTTGGAGGGTTAAATTGAATAAATGGTAAAGTATAAGAAAATGATTTAGAAATTTTGATTAAGACCAATTAGTAAGAATGGAAGAATGAAATGGTATTTTGGTCCTTTAGAAGGAAATGAATTTAAAATCCATTTTAATTAGGGTATTTAAGAAAATGGGAAAGTGAAAAATACACTAAGCTATTTCTCTTCTTCTTCCCCGTGAAAGTGCTCTCCTTCATAGCCAAAGGTAAGGCTTCATCTAGCTAGCTTTTCCTTTCATTTTTGGTTTGCTCTTGAAACCTTGAGTGTTATAGAGGCTTAAGGAATGGTTAAATATAATTAAAACTAAGAGATAGATGATTTATTTGAGATTGAAGAAAGTGGGTTTTTGAATGATATGTTGAAATATAAGTTTTTATTGAGATTTACTAGTATATTTGGCTTGTCAAAGAAGTAAATAAGAGCTTAGAAACATTGGATGTGATTAAAATCATATTAGAAAAAGTAGTATGATTTTTGGTCTGAAATGTTCTTTAGAGAATTTGGATGTTATAAGAAGCTAAATGGAGGAAAGTTAGTTGGATTAAGTGATGTAAAGTTTAAGTGTACTGTTAGAGGTAAAAGTAAGAGAATTCAACGAAAATTTGGTGAAAATCGAACTGAAAAATGGAAAATCTGGGTAGGGGTATCCGTACTGGAAGAACAGTACCAATACTATAGGTTTAAATTTGAAGAATTACGATGAACAATATATTAATATTGGTGCAATTAGTATCGATACTGATGTGGGTATCGATACTAAGAGAAAGATATCGATACCTTGGATTCCAGAATGTAGAAATGGTATCGATATTGAAAGGGAGTATCGGTACCATAGTATAGAAGTATCGATACCATGGTAGGGGTACCGATACTTTTGAGCCTGAAATAGTAAGATTGGATGAAATTGTAATAGAAATTGAAAATAATAGTACTTTGAGTATTATTAAAGTATAAATGTTAGAGAGTATACTAACATTGGTATGATATATGTACTTAATGGATGTTTGTGTAGATCATAACCAAGCTCCCGAGTCAAGCAAGAGAAAAGGCAAGGATAAAGTTGTCGAGTAGTTGGACGTCATTACAATAAATTAGGGAG